TTAATTAAGGAATATTCTGCTATTGACAAAAACACATAAAACTGTTTTTAATTTTTGTATATCTAAAGAAACCAAAATTATCGAGTGTCATTAGCTTATTTCAGATAATTTCCAGTACAACGAATTATTAATAATTTCTATAATTATAATTATATTATTTAATTGCGTGTATATATATTTACTACTTAAAAGTATAATGATAGGCAACAAAAAATAAATAAATTGCTGTATTATTGTCAACCAAAAACAATTAAAATCATCAACTGGCATTTTGTTATTATAGATTACATTACTTCCAATGCAACAAATTAATGACAATTTTAATAATTATATTTATATTATTTAATTCCATTGAATTGAGTTTACTTCTTATAAATATAATGAATTACTGCAAAAAATTAACTAAAACACTGTATTAATTTGTTTTTCAATGAACGAATAACTTTGTGAATCAATCAATTAGTTTTTATTGCAGAGATTTAATCACAAATAATTAGAGTTAATTATATATTATTACTTCACATTTGATTAATATTGTGATAAGCTTTCTAATTGGTATCCAAGATATGATTTTCAATAAGAGCAAAATGTAATTAATAACGATAAACTAATTAATAAGTTAATAATTAATAATATTGTAGCTGAATGTACTTTGTATAGCTTGCTATGAAAAATAAATACAAAAAAAAAAAAAAAAAAAAAAATTAATAATATCGCCAATTTAACTTTCATCAATTAAGAATTATTTTTTTGTTTAGACTTGTATGGAATATTTCTACTTTTCACATTTCTACTTACTAGTTTCCTCTTACTTTGTTAAAAAATTAACAACCTTCAATATGTTATATTGAATTTTCCATCTAATAAGCCTTTCTCTTAATATGATTTTAAAAATAATTTATTTTAAAATCTCAATAAATATATAAGTGAATTTATAAGTTTTTTTTATCTAGTAGCATAATATAGTAGAACTTTTTTTATTTGAAAATATTAAAAATTCAAAATCAATTGGTAACATGTCGATTGAAGATCATACTTACAAGTTATTTTTAAATACTCAAATATATTAAAAACCAATTATATCAAATTAATATGGGTATAAATTATCCTTTTTTTTCAAATTAACTGTTCCTATAATAATAAATTTAAAACTTAAACCCGATAGTTGTCAAAATACCATTTTCATTTTCAAAAATAAATCAAAAGATTTGGCACTTAATAAAAAATTAACGACCTACATTTTTACTTAATATTGCATATTTAATTGTGAAATTAAATTGTTAAAAAAAAATAAGGAAAGCGCAACATTTCTTTCTAGGAGAGCTGGGGGGCGCGGTAAACAAAAGGTTGGAATCCACTGCCTGATATAATTATCATACTTCCAATATTCTATTAAAAATTATTTTCTAATATATTAAAAACATAAAATAGATGGTCTCATTTACTATTTTTTTCATTCAAATAGTATAATATTATCAGAACTAGAATTGTCCACAACCCAAACTCTTTCCTCCTGCGAAGATCGTAAGATTTATGCATGTTTATAAAAGTTTTTCAGGGTGGCAAAGCAAGATTTATTTGTATATCTTTGTTGCCTGCAATCACAGCTATTTTGCAAAGTGTTCTTCATTGATAAAACTTTTTACCAACTTTTGTTTAGTTTCTTTTCGGCCACGAAGGATTCAAACTATTTGATAGCATATGTAAACCTTTATTCCCGAAAGAATATTTGTCTGATTTTGAGATACGAATTTGTTTTAGAAATGTCAAATATAAATCAAGTAATAAAAAGCATACGAAATCAGTGAAGTTGTAATATATTTGTATTTATAATTTTTTTTTTATTAATTTTACTCTTTACTTTTTATTATTATTTTTTTTTATTGACCTCGCTTACTTAGAGCTGACTTGGAGCATAGATTTTAAATAATGGTTCAAATAAGAATTCCTTTCACATATATACTCTCTGGTGTCTCACATGTGCAATGCTAATATATTAAAAATTTAAGAAAAGTATTATATAGTTAGATTACAAAATTTTAATATACATGCACCATCCAATTAGTTTGTTAAATATATCAATATTCTGTGACAGTAAATGGATTTTTTCCAGAGAATATATCGAAACGAACGTACATTATTATATACAATTTTTGACTACACAACAAAACAGTAAAAAATTAAATTTATTACTATTTAAATCAATCAATGGCAATTTGTTCAAAAATACAACAATAAAATGATTAATAATTCCATTCCTCTTTTACAATTGCGTAGGAATTACTTAAATTACTGCCCATAGAAATCCAAAGGGGTGCCCGACCTAGGTGCATATGTATACACAAATCTGGAAAAGACATAATAGGAATAGTGATTTCCCAAAAGGCACATAATAAACTCGACGTGTGCGACAAAATTGGTTGTATTGTAATATTTAAAAGCCAATAGCAAACTCGCAGAATGGAGCTTTTTAACATATAAAACATTTACAAATGAATATTTGAATATATAGTTTTGAAATTCAATAGAAGATTTTCTCTCAAATTTATTCAGTGGGTATATATTTATGATCATACATTTTTAGGAAAATTAATGGCGTTAGATTTTGAATCGGTTTGAATGATTGAAAAAGCATTCGATTCTTATGGATAAGGGAGACCTGCTGATTTATTTATAGGAGAGGCAGGTCCAACTGTTTCGAAGATCAAGGGCACAGAGTGCAAAAAACTTCAATTTAGTTGAGTGAGAACGGAACCTCCGATTTGAATAATTAAAAAAAAATTACTTGAAAATTCAGTTATTTCAAATATATTCCAGATTCCAGATAATCGAAAAAATCAATTTTAAAAAAATATTAAATGTTAAGAAATTTTCCAAAGGTTAATTTTTAATTTATGATTTAATTGTTGTTTTTTTTTAAGTACTTTGTGATAATAAGGATTGATATCATTCGGAAATCTTGCATATAGCTAATAACAAATTTCAATAATGTTGATTTTAAAAGTATCGTTTTGTTGAATTTGAAAGCAAAATCTTAAAAAAAAATCTTCAAAAAGGTCTATTTTTTGTGATTATTTATTTATATTTATTTTAATCAAGCGTTTTTAGCTAAATAAATTGAATTAATTTAGGTTGGTTATAACAATTTATGCAGAGATTTATGATAAATTTAGTTATATAGCTTAAATCTTACAATACATGAGTAATAACATTTTTTCAATAATGTTGATATTAACAGTATCGTTTTGTTGAGTATAAGAAAAATCTAAATTTAAAAAATAAACGAATTTTTTAAAACTGTCTATTTTTTCAAAAATTTTTAGGGAATTGTTTCTAAAAATTCGGTGAATATTTGCATTTATTTTAATCATGCGTTGTTAGGAAAATAAATTAAATTAAATTCAGTCGCTTTTTTACAATTTATGCAGAGCTTTATGATATATTTAGTTCATTTATTTTTTATTTGAGAATATTTTAAAATAAAGATGCAACGCAATTGATTCCACTAGTGACCAAACCAATTATGTTTTAAATTTTTCTAATTGTAAGTATTATATTGAATTTTAATTATTATTATTAAGGCCAACGAAAAAGTAATAGCGTATGTTCGATTTTTAACCTAAACAGATTAGGTTCAATAAAGAAGCAAACGTTTTTATAACACATATTGGTGCTTTTTCCAAATTTACTTCACTCAGAAAATTGAGATGTATTTCGCAAAAACATTCTTTTATTCATTAATATTGGGATCTCTTAGTTATTTAGACTAGTTATTTTATTTATTTAGACTGTTACAGAGAACTTTTTTAATTTCAATCAATTACGTCAATTAAGTATGACAAGGCAATGTTTTATTACAGGACTATTACTAACATGTGTCAAAATCAATTTCAATTCTTTAGTATAAATAATTATGTATTATTATTTATGTCAGAATTCTCTAACTTTTACAATTTTATATTTACTACATTGACATTTATCACTTACTTTCTGTTACCCAACTCTGAATAATAAATAAGCCGCCATAAATTAATAGTAGAACTTTTCAAACTTTCGATTTATTGTATTGATAACATATCAAGTTGTTACAAAAAAGCTTGAATATTTTATTTCAACATAACCAACTAACTAACTTATCAACGAACTATCGACAGCTCGAGGAAAAGTTGAGCCAGAAGTTTTCTTCCGCTAAAGTTTTACTAATTATATAAATTGACAGAAAAGCTCCTGATAAATTTTTAATCGACTTTTATTGTTTTGTTCAAAGATAGAAATACGTATACATTTGACACAGGTCTATAAAACTGGGACCATCGGTGCGAACTCACTTATAAAAGTTTCCTGTCTGAAAACAGTCGCCAACTGACTATAAATAATTCAATGAGGCAAACACTTCTGGATGAATGATTTAGTAACTGACACTATCGAAATTAAGCACTTATAATAAATTTATATTGAATATTAGGAGTTATATTCAGTAATAAAAAATTATAGAAATTAAAATCTAGATAAATTTATATATTACAAGATTTGAAATTTGTTTAAAGGTTCGTAAGGAAATCTTTTGATCTTTATACGCCCAAGATAGTTTTTTGAGGGAAAGTTGACACCAAAAACACCAAAATTTTTTATTTATTAATGTAATTACTGTTTTATCTACAGTGTGATAATAAGGATTTAATATGAATCGGATATCTTACAGCATATTAGAATAGATTTTCAAAGCTCAAAAATTAATGATTCACATATTATTCACATATTATTAATTATTACATCACAATTTTTCAATCATGTTTAAATTAAAAGTATTGTTTGCTGGATTTTTTGTTCAAAATCCATCGTTGTAAAAAATGCAGAAAGGCATGGGGAAAATGTTATTAATTGAGATGGCCACTCTTGGGCATTAGATTCCTTTGTTTAATCATTTGCCATTAGAGTTTATCTGCCTCTTGTTTAATTATACATATATTATTTTAATAATAACACTTCATAAATTTCTTTTAATCAATAAATTGGACATACCTATGATTGCATTGCTGACAGGCAAAACATTCTAGATGGTAAACATTCGTTCTGGCCCTCATAACCATTTCAAAGGCAGGAATAACTTTATTACAGGCAGCACAGTAGCCTGTATTTCCAAATAATCTGAAAAAAAAATGAAAACAAATCCATAAACAAGACAAAAAATTCTATAATTTATAAAAAAATATTTAGAAAAATATTTCTATAGTCCATTACAGGGATCACAATTGTTATATATTAATATAGAAATTTGCCATTATATGAACACATTTTTTTTATTAATTATTGCAATTATTTTTTATTGCTAGTTTTGAAATAGTTGAATTTTATTTACCTTAAATAATCTCTTTTACAAAGTATGAGATTTGCTTTGGTGTATAAAGTTGATCCTACTTCTCCAAGTCTGCAATCACAGCAACCACATTTTAAACAATCTTCATGCCATAATAAATCCAAGGCCCTCAAAAGATACCTGAAAATGTAAAAAAAAATTCAATTAATTAAACATTAAAATGTTTTGATAATAATTTTATGAAATATCTTGAAATGTTCAATGACATTCATAAATTAAAAATGCTGAATTTGTGGTACTCCCAATTCCCAACTAGTAAAAATAAATGTTTGAAATTGCATCAAGTTTCCTAAATTAAAAACAAAACACTTCTGTCTAATATCTTGTGTTATCACTAAGCTTACAGAATCAAACAATCATATTTCTATAGTCTAAAAGCGTATTTTAAAATGTTTACCATTGCTCAATAGAATTTAATATTGGCAGCCTAATCATGGGCCCTTAAAATCGGTACCTAATTTTAAGACATATTTAAAGTACACTATTTTCTTATCCATGACGTACGCCATGTTATTTTATAGTTTTCATTTTTAATTACGCAAATTCTTCCAAATTTGAAGAAATTTTCGACAATTTGCCATATTTTGGTAATAAATAAAACATGACTTTTTAAAGACTATCAGACGGTTAATTTAGGAAAAGCATTTCAATTTAAATGCATCCATGATTTTGGTGTATCAATCAGCATATAAAAATTCAAAATTTTTAAATATAAAAATATATGAATATCAAGCCAATAAGTAGTAATAAAGGAACAAAGCTGATCATTGTTAACAAATGTCATAAATATAGAAAATAATATAGTTACTTCTGCAATACAAGAAATTAAATAATAATAGACAACTATATTTCTCGATTTAATTTGATTTCATATCCTAATGATAACAAACCATCTAACATTAAATTATAAAATAAAATTAAAATTTTATAACTTAATATCACAAATTTAATTCCCTAACCAATTACTATAAACTTTTCTCGGTAAATATTTCTTATGGTTACGAAAAATGCAAGACAGGATATCCAATATAAATTTCAAAACTTCTACGTCGTATTTAATTAAAACACGTCCTTCCATTGTATCGTGATTTTTTCAGTCAATTTTTCTAATGATTCGATTATAACATTACCGAACAAAAGTTTCTGGCTAATTATCTCCCGGGGGAGAATTAAGTATCGGTTTACAAAAGCCTCCTCGGAGCGGGTACGGGTTTCTCGTTATATAGAAAAAGGTTAATAACTTCGAGGATTTGTCGAAATGATCGGTAAAGAAGAGAAAAAGATCGTTAAAAGTTTTTTCAGAAAAATATTTACTTAAGTTTTAATTTGGTGTGGGAACTGTTTAACACGATTTTGAAGTTGACATTAGGATTCTCAAAAATTATTGAGGACAAATGACACAAGGTTGTTACTTTTTGTATCTAGAAGTTAATAAAGGATCCTACTTTAGTGATTAAATATCATTTGATAGGTAAAGTATTTGGTAAAATTTCTCCAATTCAAAAAAATCTATTCGCAAAATTATTTCAAATATTTTTATTACTTATATATATTCATTACTTATAGATATTTGTAGTTGTCTCAGTTTTAATTGTAAGGGGTTTTCGAACTAAAAGCTACTTTATTTACCTAATACCAAATACAAATTTCATGAGCACGTTTATTTTTCAAAGATCATACCAAATATTCATCAGCAGAGTTGGAATACCTATTAATTTAATTTATCTCCTATATAGGGGCTATATAAAAAAATTGTCGAATCTAAGACTAGACTAATAATTCATATCAAAAAACACTTAAATAACGAAAATAAAGTGAACGTTTAATAAAGATATTTCTTACATGAGATAAAACAATAAAACTCGTATTAAAAATATAACAAAAAAAATCTAAAAAAAAATCAAAATGTGAAGAATGTGAAAAATAAAAATGAAGTCGGTATAAAATTTAATCAAAAAGCCCCATCTATTTTTTTTAGCGAATATTAACTCTTGTTTTACCTTACTTAGTACCTATATATTAAAATGAAAAAAAAAACAATTGGTGATAAATATTTTTCAAATGTTGAAATAAATACTGGACAAATAATTTTGGAGTCTAATTAAATATTTTAAATTTTTAATCAGACTCCAAAATTATTATTAAATATTTAATAGAATGTTACTTGATCCACAACAATAATAATTCGCAGAATTTAATATCTCAACATTATTTAAATATAAATTGTAAGTAAATTAACGTTTTTGTAATTGCCATTTGGCATAACTAATATATTATAATTTTATATTATCAAATTAATTAAATTTTGACAAATTTTTAGGCATAATAATTTTGGCATTTAATAACAATTAATAACAATCTGGCACTTTACTTACGCTAAATTTAATTATTCTCAGTTTACATAAATATTAAATATCATAAAAAAATTAATTATTCTGCAACTGTCATATATATATAAATCATTCAATATTTCAATCTCTTCTCTGTTATATCTTGATTTTTATGTAATACTAAGGTCGGTTTTACATTTTTCTTACAGCGACTGTCGGGTCATCTAGTATAGATATATAAAATGAGAGTGTGTAATATATGTATTTCAGATAAGCATTAGTAAAAGGTATTAATTAAAATAGTACTTATGTGGTACATTATACGGGCATCAAGTACCAGTCCCTTAATCACGTCTAGACTCTATCCGTTAATTAAACATAAATCAACTATCATTAGCTTTTTTTCAATAAACAATTTTTTCGCTTCATTAGATGGTGTATTATTCATTAATTTATTATACAAGCTCTGAATCACTAAATTGTACTATTACAACACAGTTTCAAGAGGCTTAACTTGCAAAGAAATCTACGAACAATACTAAATGTATACGGTTTCAGAATGGCTCATTAAAAACTAACATCGTTAACAGAATGAACGCGTGGGGGTTGCATTTTATCTCGTACTCGTTTCGACGGTGTTAGTGGGGGTCGGTTGTGTGCGTTGTATCGCTTAATTACTATCCCATAATGCGATAATAGGGCTGTTGAAATGAAAATAATTTGGAAAAAAATCGATTATTATTTTATCCTGATTTTGTATAGTATTTGCAAGTGAAGAACTGCGTCGTTTGTTCCTTATGCGACTGCGAAATAAAACGTTAGAAAATTTCTTATTACGAGTTATATCCGAGCATTGATTCTTTAATTACTCTATAAATTCTGAAATTTACCAAAGTGTAATGAATACGCTCTGAATGGTTTCTGATAAATCTATGTTAATATTTTGACTATCCTAAAAAGATATTATATAAACATTTTTCTTAAATATTTTTACACACAGGTTTACATGTTGAGTACTATGTCAAGCTCTGTATCAAAGCTTTTAGTTTTATTTTGTTACTCTCCATAATTGAACGTATTTTATAAGTAATTAATATAATGTGTTAAAATATTACATGATGAAACAAAATAAAGTCTCGAGGAGTTTGTAATCTATTTTTTTATAAAAATAGTTTTGTGTGTCCTTATACACATAATTAACTTCCCGTAGGGTAAGTTATAGTAATCACAAAAAAAATCGAAAATTAAAATTTTTGCACATCTATTCAAAGGCTTCTGAACATTTTGGCACTCCTTAGAAAAAATGTGTGTGTGTATGTATGTATGTGTGGATACAATATTTCATCGACGTTTTCGAGAACACGGATCAACATATTTAAATGATTCGAAAAATATTCGGTTCCTATTGATAAGGACACGTGCAGATTAGTTATTTTTTGTTATTTTGTTTATTAGTTATTTTGATTAAACAGAGCGTCCGATTTGAATGATTCAAAAACCATTTTACTTGTATTGTCGATGTGAACAACTGGCGAAGTTTTTGAGAAGGCAGATTTAGTTATTCGGAGATCCAATAAAAAATGTAAAAACGGTCAAAAATGATCATTAAACAAATGCAAAACATATTATCAGATATTTTATAGAGATTTTAATAAGTATAAATTTTGTGTACATTTACATGGGATCCGTACCAATGCTTACACGTTATACTACGACGCGGCGCTTACGCGTTTCGATATTTTGACCCTAAAAAATCTATGCAGCGCGATTGCTTTAAAAAAAGAGTTCAAAATTAAAAAAAAAAAAAACAAAATATAAAGAAAATTCAATTTTTTCAAGAAAATCTTTTTTTTTTATTTCAACGTTTGTAATTTAGATCTTTATGAAGTAAAGTTAGTGCAAAAATGGAGTATACGTTTTAACGTCGAACAGAAGGCTTCTTAGTAATTTTTTTAATGACAATGATAAATTAATAAACAATCGTAACCTTTAGTTAAAAAATTGAGAATTAATAGTTTAATTTATAAAATTAAATTATTAGCTAATAATACGTAGCAATTAATTATACCGTTTTTTTTGACTGTGCTTCATAAATATAATTCTATTAGATTATCTTATATTATTAATATATCTCAGCTATGTAATATACTGCAAATTTAAAATTATTACAAAAATTATATGTATAAAGAATTTATTCATTAATCTAAAGAATTTGAGTTATTAAATGAATCGATACTTTTCAGTATTTTCACCCTATGTTGAAATAAATGGAATTCAAATCTATCAATGCAGAATAAACTTTAGCTTAATATTATAGTTTTGTAATATTATAACGATTTTTAGAACAAAGTCCAAATACACCAAAACTTATAAGAAACAAAATATACAAATTAACAAAAAATTCTTATAAATGCCTCTTATTAATCTTAACTACTATTGATTATAGCAAACTGTTAGTAGTTAGTATAAATACTAAAATGAACTATAACAGCTGTGAAATTTTCGATTTTGCTTGCACTATTCACATTTTTCTTACAACAGTCCCCTACGGTCGAAAGCAGAGGCAATTAGTTAATGAGCTGTTTCTAGGAGGAATGAAATATATATATATATATATATATAGATATATATATATATATATATATATATATATATATATTTATATACATATATATATATTTATATATATATATATCGTACCTTACATGTATGTACGTATATCCCAGATATTAACTGGCCTGGATAAGTTTTCTATATATAGTAGCAAACATTATCCAGTATTGTATCCAGAAATAAATTAATTAGAACATTGATTTGGCGAATCTAAGTAGAAAATGATTTATCTCACCTGTCCTGGATTTGCTTCCCGCACCCTGCACATTGTTGAGGAGCTCCGGGTGGCCCGGTCTCAGCTTTTGACACATCCATGGTCATCATCTGAAATTGAAAGAAATCGATATTAAAATAACATATAAAATAGTACTAGATTTCACACAAATAGTTTAAATAGAATTTTAATAAATATTTTGTGGCGGGAATAGCTCACTCAGTAGCGTTCTCGACTCACACTGGAGGAATTCGGTTCGAATCTCCAGCAATACCAGAATTAAAATATAAAATATTAAAACTAGGTTAAGAATTGGTAATTTGTAGAATTCAAGAAAAAAATGTATTAGAAGTAAGAAGGAAAAAAAAAAGAAGTTTAGTTTAGAAGATGAGAAGAACATATTGAGAAACAAGAAGAAGAATGAAAAATATTTAGAAAGAAAATTGAATGGAAGATTAGGATATATACCATAATTAGAAATTCACTGGGAATTTCACTGATTTTGAACTTGATTTTAAATTTTACTGGATTTTACATAGGAGTATGGTTGTTTTGTTCTTTTGGTTGTTTGATAAGTGTTAGGTATTGTGATGTTTCATTTGGTTTGGTTTTGGTCCACTACTGCTTGATTTCTAGCTGTCCGCGAAGAAATAGAAAGCTCTTACCACTGAGCCACTTACGTAGCTCGCGAATTTAAACATTTCCATAAATATTAATCATGTTGGATTGATTTGTTCTCATTGATTATCATTTATGATCTGGAAAATTTGAATTCTCATAAGTATGAAACAGTTGTGTTTCATTCAAAGAAATTCTAATTATGTAGTAAATTTGCAAATTGTCTCAATTGAATATTAACAACTTACTTAGTAAAAGTTGATCAAGTTTGCTTTGTGGCATCATCATTATGTGCATTTTTGTCCACAAACTTACTCTATTTGAAACTATTTGTATAAATATTTATAGTAAAATGATAGATTGCATAAAAAGCCTGACACAAAAGCCAATGTTTATAAAAATCCCATTTAAATCGGAAACATTAGCAACTATGTTACATTGAACACTTTACCTCGTTTTAATGGTGTTGATTAAGACAACTCTCAGGAGAATTATTACAACGAGTTTTTCTCGATACGCAAATGGGTGATTAAAATTTATAGGCAATCCCAGATAGTGCCCCGAGTTAAATACAAACATATCATTCAAATGATATGTGTTCGACGTGTATATGTGTAAATATGTTCTATTCGAATAATGCTTAGATTGACTGCCCGTATGCTCTCGGATTGAACTATAATCGCTAAGAACAAACATTTGCAAATTTGCATATAAATGAATCTTGAATTGCATATTACTAGAGGTGATGGTGATTCACACGGATCATAATAGATATACCCACATACACAAGCATTTTGATTGATGATACTTGGATTTGTCAAGAATTTTTGTTGCGATCAGAACAAGAATTTAGTTGTAGATGATTCACTTTTGCATTGATTGGTATTACATTTTAACTGCTAACATATTCTTGTATTTTTGTAATCACCATCGTATACTGCACAAATAACTTACATGTGGACGGTAGAAAATCAGTAATTTTAGTAGTAATTATATTGGTATTATATGTTCAGAACATTATGCTACACGATAAAACAAGGAAATAGTATTGATCCCAACAGTCCTGAAAAAATGGCCGTAATATTTTAGTATGATTTATAAGACTATGGTATCTACCGTAAGAAAAAAATCGTAAAAATCGTCGAATTTTTTTTTAACACTTTGTTACAAGAAAACGGCCCGGCCGGTTTTACCAAAAACTAATCAGGTTGATTCCCAACAAATATCTTTCGAACGGTTTTTGAAATTTCAAAATCTATTCAGAATTGCGGGCTAAAACGTGGACGAAAAATTTTTCACTTTTCTGCTATTTACAAAAAAAAAAAACGGCTTAGCTGATCGTCGCGCAAAATTGATAAACGCTAGTCCTCATTGAGATACATCGAACTGCTTTTAAATTTTTGAAATCGTTCCAGCCGTTTTTGAGAAAACGTCGCTTTACGACAAAAAATCTGTTCACACACACACGCACACGCATACTTTTTACAAATTTGGTCTCATTTGATTCAGAATGGCTTGAAACGTCAAGAAAAACACAAAATTAGCGAATCGGATATTTTTTGATAATAGCATAAACTTCTCCTTCATGAAGTTAATAATAAAGCCATGCACCAAGTGTTCAGAATAATAAAGACTTTTTGGAGAACTATGAATTTAAAATTTAAAAATTGTTCAACTTCGAGAGGATTTTCTTTGAAACAATGTACTGAGGTGTGTGGCAAGTTTCATAAAAAGTTGGCAGCGCATTTACTCAGGATTGTAAAGTGGTAAAATACTTTATAATTTCATTAACTTACCATAGTGTAAAGTTATAGTAATAATCCAAATATCAAAAATAAAAATGTTTGCATATTTCCTCAGAAACCTCTCCGAAGTTTCTGAACATTTTAGCACTTTAGCAAAAATGGTCTGGTGCATTTAAAAAATTCAGTCTGGAATGTTTGAAAAAATTCAATTCGTAATAATTGGAAAACATGATGATTAGTTTTTGACAAAGACAGGTCAGCCATTTCAGAGAATATTGTAAGAAAAAAAATAATTTTCTAATTTATTTTTTTTCACTAGATGTCTTATATATTCTCAATTCAAGATCATGATCTTCATTAATACTTTAGACACATGTCCTGAAAATGGAACATACTTAGTTTAGAAATGTTGACATGAAATAAAATAAAATTAAAACACTTTATGATTTTTATTACAACTGGATTGCTTATTCAAAGCTTTATTATGAATATCAAATATAATAATAATATACTTAAATAACTATAATTAAAAATGTTCCCATTGCATACTCTTTCTGTTCGATATTAACTTGAATTCATTAAACACATAAACTCTCAGAAAATCATAAAAAATCTAATATATGAAAAATACGTTAAAAAAATCAATTTGTAATAATTGGAAAACGTTGCGACTAGTGATTAGTTTTTGGCAAAGGCAGGTCCAGCTGTTTCAGAAAATATAGTAAAAAAAATCTAATTTTTTAATTAATTTTTTTCACTAGTATAGTTTTATATATTCTCTATCAAGATCCTGATTTGATTATTATTTAGACAGATGTCCTGAAGATGGAACGTACTTTAGAAAACGTTGACATTAAATAAAATAAAATTAAAACACTTTATGATTTTTATACAATGGATTGCTTATTCAAAGCTTTGGTATGTATATCAAATATAATAAATAATATTATAAATAAGCTATAATTAAAATTTTCATTAAATACTCTTTCTTTTCGATATTAAATTGAATTCATTATTAAACAATAATCTCAGAAAATAATAAAAAATCTAATATATGATGAAAATACGTGCTTAAACGTTGATATAGTGAATGGCTTCGACAGTAAAATACAAATCAACCCAAAATAAAATCATTTTAATTTAGCCGCGGAACATCGCCCAAACATAAACGCATATATATATATATAATATATATATATATATATATATATATATATATATATATTAATTTAATCGAATTGCTGACGAAGCATCGATTTTTCAGCAAGTCCCTTTCGTTTCGTTCGAAACGATACTTGATGATCGTCGACCCCCGTTCATATTTTTTGTTGTCAGAACTCCATCACCGATTTTAATTAGATATATTCACGTTTTCTTTATGAAATGAAAAATACGTTAAACAAAATTGGATATGCGTATTTATCAACTCACAGAATTTAATTAAAAATAAACGCGAGCTCCGTCTCTCATGAATACAATGCATTAAAAGTTTTTTTGTGGAGTGGCCGATTGGCGAGTATGGGGATAAGGGAGTCTCAGCGAAGGTTATAATAAAGCATTGTTATTAAAAAGAGGGTTGTTATGTTAATGCAACATTATATAACAATAATGATATTGATTGCTTCGATGTGATGATGTTTCTTTTAATACAATTTGATCGACAAAACTCGTTTCAATATATTCAGGACGCAAGAGGGTAAGGTTGTTTTCTTTCGATTCAATGAGGTATTGTGAGGTATGAGTGGTATTGATACCAAAACATGTTTATGTGTCGTTAATTATATTTAATAAATATTATAAAGTTCAAACTTTGAAATACAATTAGGTCTCACGAAGGTATAAAAATATTATTACAAAAATAATATATATTATAGAAAAAGTTTATATCATTACCCAACGCGCTTACTAACTAACTGACTTACTAACTATTACTGGTAAATTAATTAAACAAAATTAACTAAATGCGAAATATTCTTCTAATTTAGATAATTATTATTTTATCTGATCAAGTATTAAGCGTTTTAAATTAAACTAATTATGTTTACCACAATATTGTAAACAAGTCCACATAATATCTTTAGTGTTCTCCTTGCAAGTGAAATAAAAACATTCTAATTAAACGATCGTAAAATAATTATTATCTATACTAAAATAGATATTTAATTAAGGTTATGCAATGCGCTACAAATTAATCTAATACTGAATCATTGGTATCCAATTAAGCTAAAAACCACTAATGAATCTGCTACTTCAGTCGGCTATTAAGATTTTTTCAGAGCAATATTTAAGTCAAGTGGTTAATATGTATGTAAAATATAATTTAATTAGAACTTTAAAAGAATTAAATATAAAAATAATAAATTACGTTAGTTAAACGATTTCGAAACAAACCTTTTAGTTCTCAATATCAAAGAAGTAAAACCAGAAAGTTTTAATCAATTTGATCAATTGATGCAAATTACTATCAATAGTGATAACAATTACATATATTAGCCGTGAGAATTTTTTAAACTGTCAAGATATACAGAAAATATACTATTTTCCAAGACATCAATAAATTTATTTTGAAATACTTATTTTCTGAATCATTAAGCACCTAAAACTATTTTACCAATATATTACCAATTTTCATATTTAACAGAACTGTATCGGATTGAATTAGATCAAATGCAGTTTTGTACAAATAAGTTATTTTATTAATATAAAAATATTTATTAAACCTTTGTTATGTCATAGTTACATAT